TATTTTAATACTGTTACTATAATAAAAAAGTAATTTAAAAATCAAATAACACCATCATAAGATTCACTAACTGTTTCTTGAGTGTAAGAAGAATAATGATATTAAAGTGCTTTATTTGAAATTTTCATGACACTATTCTTTGAATGGGCACATGTTTGTTTATTTTGAGAGCCTTTTGTCAGTTCTCGTCAAACCTGACAGAAAAGACCAATTCTCTTTCTTGTGTGACTGATCAGGAAGCTCCTCTTGGGAAGCCCTCACAGTCTGGCAACAGGAAGAGAGAGTGGAGGAGCTGCAGTTTTTAGCTGAACATGCCCTCAGTAACGGAGACAGTCTTTGTCTTTCTGAGCTGCCTGGGGCCTTTCGAATTTACAGGTAACAGAGCCCTAATGGAAATTTGATGTACTTTGTCTATGGCAGGTTTTCCTCTGAGTTTATCCAATGTACGTTTGTTCTATTTACAGCAGCCCTTTTTTATAGTTAAGCACTTGCCCCTTTCAATGGCAGTTGTGAGGGATTTTCTTACAGTGCAGCTGTAGCCTGACATGGGAACTGCACATGACAATTTTGTGGTGACATAGTTCTTGCAATACTATACGTAAGAATGTAGTGAAACCAGAATGTCTCTGACACTTAAGTTATGAATGGTGTGAAACTTTAGGGAATATCCACCCATTTTCTATCCTCTTTATCAAATTCAGGGATGCAGACAGGAATCCAGTCCACACAAGGATATAGACACAGACAGGGGGACACACACCAGGGCCAATGTTCCCAAAAGCCATTCAACCTACCGGTATGTCTTTGGACTGTGGGAGGAAAACAGAGCCCCCAGGGGAAACCCACACAAACACAAGGAGAACATACAAACTCCACGTAGAGAGCACCTCAGGTCTCAGAATTGAACCCAGGACCACAACACTGTGAAGCAGCAATGCTAAAAACATGCCTTGTTGTAAGGCGTATGAGGCACCATACGAAGGGTACCAATCCTTTTGCAAGGCACTGTACGCAGCCACATTGTTGAAGATGACACACTGGCTTCTTTCAGGAAATCGCTGGGTGAGATCCTTGGAATTGTAGCTACCAGCAACCATAGGAGCTAGATGCACCAAAAGCTTTTAAACTTTCTTGAATTCAAATGTGTTTGATTTATGAGTGTGGAGAATGAAGGTGTTTGTTGGTGTTTGTCAGTGTCATCTAGACGATCACGGCAAACCTGGATTTCTGAAAGTAAAGAGACTTATTCTACTTACTGCGTTAATTGAAGTCCAGTTTATGTATTTTATTATTTTGTTTAAATACGTTTTCAGCTGGTGCTGTTGTTTTACAGAAGCACAGATAGGGGGTTGTTGCGAGGATGCCCTGAGAATGTGGACCTCAATGTTCTGGAATGGACTGCAGTTCTCATGCTGAAGGAACTTCACTCCAACTACCAGAGGGAGAAGAATGTACTGCAAAAGCTCGAGAAGAGGTAGTGACTTAGTCCCACTGCTACACCTCAAACTCTCCAGAAAGTAGATTAAAATTGCAACATAGTTTTAGTTTTCCCGTCTTGACTCACATCCTGCACACTGCATATTTATAATGAAAAAGAATGTATCTTATACTTCCTTATATTCTACAATCATAGAATCCAACAATATCTGAATCACACAAATGTTACAATCCAGAAAGCAGTTTGGTTCTGCTTGCCTGCTAACTAATGAATCACCAAGTAAAAAGTTGCCCTACAATGAGACGCTGCTTGAATGTTTGGACCGCACTCTGTGTGTCTGAAAAATACATCACTGTCAGTTGACTTGTGATAATAAAGCAAGCATATTGTATTTTCAGACTATCACAAAAAATGGAAAACAATGATGCATGTCTTCTGTTTTTTTATTATTGCCATTTCTTTGATGTCTTAATGATGCTGTGTTGTGCTTTAGTAGGGGATAGGGGTTAGTATGGGTTTTCTATGCTGGTGAAGAGAAGGGGTATTATTATATGTTGGGAATATTTTGGTTGAGTAGGCAAATGAGTCATTTTATGTGGTAGCACCCTCTAACTAATGTTGTCCACATTACACAGAGTGTTTCCCTTAAGAAAATGTTAGTACCACAAGAAACTGCAACATAATACATTCAGTATGTGGTGAATTGGAATATACAGTCTTTCATGGGAGTTACCTTGTAATCAAGGGAACAATCCTGTAAAATATCCTTGATTAAATGTTCTGAAATACCACAATGTTTCCTGATGTTTCTCACCTGGGGTACTATTCCTGTAAAAATAATATTGAGATACTTGTACTAAAATAACATACCAGTACTGTAATCTTATACTTGGGTTCCTCCTCACTGATAAAATTGTTTTTGTCTTTGAAATCTTCCAGTACGTCTGTTACAATTGCTTATATTGAGATGTTTTTGTTGTATAAGAACTAAATTCTGACTTCTTTAAACATGTGTTTAGTGTGAAGACTTGCCTTCAAAGGATTATTTCATGATAGCAGTCTTATTTCCCTGTGTAAAGTTTTGTGTCTATTACTTAGTGTATTTGGGTTGACCAAAGGGAGTAACTGAGTATTAAGTACATCCATGTCTTTTATACTATTGGATGTTTTTCCCCAGCCACCAAAATATTCACAGAAACCTTTATCAGCCACATGATTTCAGTATTCCCTGACCAGTGAGGCTGCTTTAATTTTTAACTTTTGGAACTTGCTTGTACACAAGCTGGTGTCAGAACAAACTTTTACTAAACATTTATTATGTATTTTAATTAAATTCAAACATTATTATTCCATAGGGGAAATTTATTTTCCAACATTATAACATAAAACAACACCAACAAGAGGTCAGGACAAACAATAATTCATTAAATGTACTGGACACAATTAGTTTACACTTTTGTTATATTACACTTTTTAATGAAATATATTCAAAAGTGTAATTACAGAGCTGATATAACAATTTCCTAGACTGGTCACACGTGTTGTACTGTATATCCTGGGGCACAGAGGTGTCTCCCAGATGGGAGTAGAGTGAATTCCCAGTGGAAGGGCTGTGCCACACACTCCATAATGCTGGTAGCCTTCTTTAGAACCCTTGGCGTGTGGAGTGCATTGAGGTTGATTTACCATCAATAATTTTACTACTTAGGTCTGTTTTCCTTAACATATTACAATTTGCTTTACTGGTATAGTAATGTCTAGCATTCTGAATTCCTAACTGGAAATCTCATGTAAAATATTACTTATTGTACCATTGAGTAAAGAATGTCACCTGAATGCTTCTACTAAAGTACTCAGCTATAAAAATGCTTTGGGAAATCCTAAATAAATTAGTAGTAATAGTCCTCTTTACACTAGAGCCCAGCGACCTGTGACCTGGTACCCCATCAAAATGCTTTACTCAAATGTGTAACAGAGGTTACATAGATCCTTTCCATTATTTATAAGATTAACATTATAAACATATTCTTTTCTATTCAGTTTGGATAGGGTAGATTGTACATTCCTGCACCTGTGTCTGAAATCTACTGTGATGAAAGCAAGGAGAGAGACGTGTGCTCAGGGATCAATATTAGCAGCATATCAGTCCTGGGAAAATTGGTGAGTGACAATAAACTGCAATAGATCATTTTTCTTTTTGAGAATGGATAGCTTTGTCAGGGCTCTGATGTAGTCCTGTTTTCTGTTATTTTTATGAGATGCCTTTCCTTGGCATGCAAATGACATTTGTACCCAAATGTAACACTATAAGCCATTTTTGAATGTACAGTAATAATTGTGGATAATCTCAGGTGATCCTTGTGAACAGAAACCAGACAAAATACATAACTGAATAGGTGTATGTTTAAAATCAAAGATGTTTAGTCACTTACAACAAATGTGGATTTTTAAACAACGTGCAATTGACTTAACACCTCCTCAATTAAAAATAATATTTTTTTAAATTATATTATCAATATAATTTATATTAACTATAAAGAGCTTACTGCTTTTAGTCTGTCAGTGTAGGACATTTCTTAAAGCGTCTGATTCTTGAGCATCCATATCTTTTTAAAAAAAAAAGATTAATTAGTGATTAAAATTGGACACAATATTCTAATTAGGTCATGTTCATGCATTGTACAATTTAAGCATGTAGTAAAATCCCTTGATTTAAATTCCACACCTCCAGCTACTATATATCATATGTTTATATGTTTCCCCACAGGTTCAGAGTAGAGAAGTGCTAAAGAACAAACCTCATAAGATTACTCTATAAAGAAAAAAAAACAATGTGCAAAAACACTGATAAATATTTAATTTCTATAGATTTCAGGTCTTCAGATGTATAAATAATGAGAACTGATATTTGAAGCATATTTTCAAACCAACAGATACATAGAAATGAAGCTAAAACAATAATTTATCTGTCAGAGATTTCAAACTGGAAGCCGTCTTACAGATGCATTTCCTTGTTGCCATGACCGCAGGTCAAGTGGCAAAGGGTACAGCATAATGGCATAAATGTAAAAAAATGGTATCTCAGTAGCATCTCAGCACATGTGGAAAGACACTGCTGGAATAATGTTTTTTCACTATGAGACTAGGTTGTGTAATGATCTGTGTGGGTGGTAATAAGAAACATTGCAGCTGGGGAAAAGAAAACAGTTCAGTTGTGATCATGGGCTTTGGTTTTGTTATGCTCTTTTCATCTGCTCTACATGGAGTTGAGTAGCACTCATGGAACTAGTTAATAATGGTTTTATAACATGAATCTCACTAATAGATGTACTTTCCTTTTTAATGGAGTATTTATATGTCTTGTTTTCCTTTACATTGGTTCATTTTATTACGTACTATTTAGGTCAGCATGTCCTGGTTAAATATCTTAATCCACTGACCCTGTTTGTTCTATAGAGCTTTGGAAACCAGCTCCCAAAACATGACCAGTGTTGTAAAAGTAGCCAAAAGAAGAGTACAAACAATCATGCACCTTAGTGAGAAACTTCATATGGATTTAAAATATGCAGTGCAGCCATATTTACTTTCCACTAACATCATAGTTTACTTTATATACTCTATTTCCTCCTGCTATGTACTGTAATATGAATCTTCCTTACTGATGCACCCTGTCTTCCTCTACTTCTGCTATAACAATCATCCCTGGTCTTTTAAGGCCTGAGATCAACTTCCCTCATTGCAAAGACTTGGCTATATTCTGGATGGCACATCATGGTCACTCAGACCTGGACAGGAGGGTTAGACCATTCTCAGGATTCTCACTGCAGGTAATAGAATAAGACATACAGTAATGTGATATGATGCCAGCAAAAATAAAACACCAAAGGATAAATATTTTCAATCACATTTGACTCTTTCTGCCTTTGATAAAATGTCACCCCATGCATCGATTTGTTGTTGATGAAAACAAATGTTCATTGTTGTACATAATCGAGGCAAACCATTCTAATGTTCAATGTTGATATACGCAGCTTAGACTTTTATTTAAATTAAATAATCAAACCAATGTTATTTTCCCTTTATACCTCTCGGTAGCACAGAGTAGAGAATACAAAAAAATTAAAAACAACAAAAAATAAAAATTCCTTTCTTTGATTATCTGTTCTAGATGTATCAAGTTGTGTGCATATTGACATTAATGAAACAAATTCATTTTGACGACATCAATAATAATTATCATGAACTTCACACCCAAAAGAGAAACAAAACAATAGCAACAAGAACAAGAAATTTACAAAAATACATTCCAATTCAAATATTCTGTATAAATGGGTCAGTTTTACAGTTATTTCATGCTGCATTTGACGTGTTCCCTTTATTGTATTTTTTATCAGCAAGAAGTTCTGGAGTTGCTTCTGTCAAGACAGGAATGGGAGAGGGAGTATTTGAAAAAGCTACTACACAGTTTTACTTCTGAGGAACTGCAGACTGAAATTACATCAAATAACGAACACACCTCAAAGTTTTTGATAGGTCTGTCTGCGTTAAGGGTCTTTAACTCAGTTCCTGGAAAGCCTTTTGGATTCCGGTTTGTTCCAACCTGTGTAGCCAATTAAATAATTAAGATTATTTACATAGGATTTTTTGTAAGGTCTTTGTCATTGATTATATAAGGCAGTCACTTCATTAAAGTTGCAGTTACCTATAAATGTGGGTTGGATATGTTACAAAATTGCAGCTGAATCAATAATTACAGTAATTAATCAACAATGTAACTGGAAATGTGAAAATGTGGCTGAAACTATGTAAAGAGACTAAGTCATTCAAGAATTGAAAGACCCCTCTTCTAAATCCTTTACAGTGCAATGGCCTGTTTAATAACTGTCCTAGTTTTCTCATTGTCTCCTATTCACTCACTTGACTAGAACAAGTACATGTACATTTGTGTAGGTATGTGCTGTTTTCCTTTTTTTGTTCACTAGTTAGGTTCAGTAGTTTTGTGCATTATGTCTCTTTAGGAAAACATACAGAAGCTTCTTATACCTTAAGAAAGCACTGTGCAATGAAACTGAGGCAGTTAAAGGCGGTATCTGAAAGTCAGATACAAGGAACATCGTGGGCAGACTGTGCTGTAAACTTGCTTTCTAACCTAATGGAGCAACAAGAGAAGGAGACCAGACATATTCTAAGGGCAATGGTAGATATGGTAAGTCAATAAACTTAGGTTAAGTGCTTGGTAATGCAGTAGGTATAGATTAGGAGGATTGGCAGGCACTGTAGAAAAAGCAAATTAAGTTCAAAAAGAGATCAAATACAAGACAAATTTCAGGGCAAACTCCTGACAGATGGTGTTTAAAGTTGCTACATACAGCAGTGGATTCTGCATGTACTGTAAGTAGCAAAACCCGAAATTATAAATGCAAAATGCAAAATGCTGAGATAGAAGAGGATATGTATGAAAAAAGACTCATAATTCACATCTTCCTGACAATGTGAGAAAGAAATTCAACAGGCAAGCAAAATGTTAGAATATACAGTATAGTTAAATGTGTAGAATTTAAGCTAAAGGATGCTATGTTAAAATTGTATAATGCAGTAGTAAAGCCTCCTTTAGAATAGTTCCATGTGCAGTTGAGGTTATCATGTTATACTGTAGATGTTGCTTCTCTGGAATCTGTACAGAGATTCCATCAAAACCAGATACATTCTGGGACTTAAGGGAACATCCTACACTAAAAGCCCAGAGAAACTGAACACTTTTAGTCTTGAACAGAGAAGATTACAAGGTGACCTGACACAAGTATTCAAGGGCTTTGATAAAGGCAACACACATTCTTCAGAATTAACAGTGAAACCAGAAGACACAAGTGGAAAATATACAGAAGTGCATTGCAAACAGAGAACAGGAAGCACTTCTTTATCCGAAGAGCTATGGGAGAGCTGAACAAGCTTCTCGGCCCTGTTGTTGAAATACAACAAATGGCCTCTTCTCATCTGTTAAATGGGTCAACGGGAACACTCCCAGTCCAAGTATTGGACTGCCCCCGTTCTTTTGTTTTCCGTTCTAGTCTAGCTTTCTTAGTTCAGTTTATTGAACACTTAAAGAGGAACTGCAATATTTATATTGGTTTTGGTGAGAGGGTCTCTGTGAAATTTGAACATAATTTTGCTACTGAAGCTGTGATAGTTTATAAGGTGGACATACTGAACTGGTGTGAACTGGATAAGAAGAATTCTGGATTTAAGGACTACTATGTCATTCTATACTGTGTTAAAAGAAGTTATCTTTGGCAAATAGGTGAAGATGAAGATGTACTGTATGTGATTCTGGAACACTGCCAATCTGATAAGCACAGTGATGTGTGACAGATAACAGAAAAAGAACTGTTCTAGTTTAATTACTTTGAGAAAAATACACCGCACATCTCTGTGTGTTTCGCTCCCATGTGCATGAAAAGAAAACTTCTTTTAACTTCGGAGACGGATGCCTGGCTGTCTTTTAAGGGGAAGCGGGAAAAATTTATCCACCAATTTAAAAGAGATGTATTCACAAGAGTGCTTGTTGAAGATATAATAGGGCTAATTCACATCCCCAAAAGATTGGTTCCCTGATTCTGAATACCTGGCGCATACCTGGAAATTTTGTCTATTTTGTGATTTAAATTGGAAGTTTTACATATTACTGTGTACATTTTACTTTCATTGTGGTTTGAAATGCACTCATTAATGCTGATTCTTTCTAACCCCAAAATATAAAAACAGTATTTGCAGTTCCACTTTAATTAAATTGCCTTTTGTTTTCCATTCACAGCTTTCACAGTAGCTCATGAATAAGAATATTAGACCCAGAGGGTTTCAGAAAATTCTGTGATCTGAGTTTGTTTCAAAGTGGAAATTAATCAGTGCAACTATACATAATTATATTTATAATTATATTCATACAAATGTTATTGTAACCTGAGAATTTGATAGTGTCTGTACATCAAATAATAATAATAAACATTTAGGGTTTTTTAGAAAGCAATTGGAAATATGCCATTTTAAATGAAGTTGCAATGAGTTCTGTTGCTGCATTTCTTCAGAATAACACATGTAAGGGAGATTATTTCTGAAATTAGACTTGAATGAACTTTTGACTCAATCAAGGGTTTGGTACTTTTTAACTTCAATAAGATTAATAAAAGAACAGAAGTCACTCCAAAATTAGGACTGATTCCAATATTTCAGCAAATAGAACACCAGCAAAGGAATTAAAAAAAAGTTTGTTTTAACATTTTTAAATTAATTTGAAGGCTGTTTAAATGATACAAGAAAATGTGGGACCCATTTCTTTCATGTTTCTATTACTAATGTTGGTTAGATTCTTTTTGAATAATATCTATTTGTATGTCCAACAAGAATTTTGAAATCTGAATATATAAAAATTTTATACCTACAGCCATGGAGCAAGAGTTTTCTTTAGTGGGGGTGAAAGTGAAGATTAGAACTCTTGCCAATGAAAGACAAATACGCACAAAGCTGCCTGAAATCAGTGAAGTTATGGAGAAGTGTTAACTTAAAAAATAAGGAATATTTGCAGAGAAATATAGAGCATAAGTTTTATCTCCAATTGTACCCATGTTATTCAGATTTTACCCATCTGTTTTATACACAGAATGAAGAGCTTCTTATCTCTATTCAAGAAAAATATGAAGCTGAGCTGGAAAACCAGCAGCTGGACAATCTTCTTCAGCTTGTGCTTCCTCAGTCAAGTCAACGCAACACACCACCCTTTGAAAAAGAGCACACAGGGGTCTTCATTTCTGAGGGAATTAAGAGTTTATTTAAAGATCATTGCTGTCAAATACATCTCAATGACTTCTCTGAAATAGTCAAACTATTTTAACGGAATTGGAAATGCAGAAAATCAATATATTATATGTATTAACATGAAATCCATGGTTATAAATGTACACAGCCTCCTCAGATGGAGTTTTCTCTCAAAGCACATAAGTTTTTAAAGTATGCATACAGATATGAAAAAATAAAAGATCCATTTTAGCCAAATAGCTTCAGCGATATTGACCTTGCCACCACTTGATGAATTAATGACATATTTCTTAATGACAGATTTGTGAAAGGAGTGGTCCTGCACCAGAACCCTTTGAAATGCATGAGATCAGTTCAGAGGGCCATCAAGACTTTGAAAGGACAGCAGAAAAAAAACAGGATAGTCAGTCTGATTACCAGGAAGGAGAGGATGTCTGCTCAGGTAAATATTATGAAGCGGAAGAGATCATACTGATTTCTCAAATTTAAAGAAAAATGTATCCCCCATATAAACCACGTAAAAGCAGTGAAAAAGCGTCAGCAAATGTAATGTTGCAGTCAAAATTAAGGAGGCAAACAGTTGGAAAAAAACTGAACAATTTTAGTCAATTTCAATGGGACCTCAACCATACATTCAAAATACTCAAAGGCAACAACATTCTTCAGTATCAACAAAATGACGAACCAGAGATCACAAGTGGAAACTGAGTGGAAATACACATGAATTTGAGATTAGGAGGCACTTCTTTATCCAAAGAGCTGTGGGAGAGATTAGAACAAGCCATCAGCCATGTTTCTGAAGATGATACCATGACGTTCTTCAAGAAATGTTTGGATGACATTTTCCTTGGCTAGTAGTAATTCCTTGGCTACTATCTGCTGAATGGGCCAGAAGGGAAGAATGGCCTCCTCCTGCCTGGAACCTATGTTGTTTTGATGAAGACCTGCCCATTCCAGCCTTGTCCTACAGGTAGTAGGAAGGGGGTAACATAGCAAAAGACATGAGTGGTAGAAGTGCTGTTACTATTACAACTGATATTGTTGTGCTTATTCTTTCATTTTATTAATTAATGGTTTGCATATAAAATGTTTTGCATATAACAAATTATACAAAGAAATAATAAGCATTACAGTTAAACCACAAACCTTGAAAGAGTCATATTAAACCAGCATTTTATGCCAATTGCAAAACAAATTTGAGGAAACTGGTACTACAACACAGTTTATGTGAAATTATTTAACAGAACTACAGGCTGTAGAACAGCTACAATTTCTAATAAGTGGCTCAACTTGTTTGAAATAGAACTAGAATTATTTCAACAAATAATGTTAATCTAATTATTAATAACTAATTGTTGTATTATGTCTGTTTTTCCTCAGCTTGTGGTAATGTTTTCAGCTCTGAAGAAGCTCCCTATTTAGAAGTAGTATGTGCAGCAGACAGTACCCAGGGCCAGTTTGGACTGGAAGGAATTGGTGTAGAAGGAGAAGAAATAACATCTCAAGCTGAGGCAAACTTTGAAAAACAAGGTTCTCTGATTGCTGTTGCTTGGAGCAAACAAACAGAACAATCTATAGATGACACGGTAAACTACATGAAATAGGTCTTTCCAGTAAAGCTAATCAAATGGTGTGTTATTAACAGAGCTAAGCATTCTTTCTTAGCAGTCTCCTTTTTAGCTATTCAGGTGCCTGTGGCTGACAACAAAGTTTTTAAGAAAGTTTTTTAAAAAATCTAAATGTTCTGTTTTTTTTTTTTTCTGTGATAAGGTAAAATTAATTCTAAAGCTAAAAGACTGTAATGAACTACTGTATACCAGCTCTCCTTTTTTACAGAACAAACAATAGGCATTTCTAAGAGGCTGGTATCACGAATATAGATGTAACAAACAACATGCATACATTTTTCATCATAAATATAAGATTCTAAAGGGTCCTTCCACAAAACACCCTCAGAGCTCATAAACATCAGCCTAATAAATTGAATTTCACCTAAATTGTGGGTGATGTGACAGACAATTTGTTTACTCATTTAGACCTGGTCATGTCATTGGGGTTAATTTTTTGGTTTTAAAGGCTTTTACAAAAGGTTCCCTAAGCATTTCTAATTCCCATAGTGTAAACAAATATCATGTTGATATGTCAACATGCCAGCAGCCACATCACCCTGCAACTCACAACTGGCAACCCACTGAAGCTAAGTAGGTGTGAGCCTGGTCAGTACCTGGATGGGAGACCTCCTGGGAAAAACTGCTGCTGGAAGAGGTGTTAGTGGGGCCAGCAGGGGGCGCTCGCCCTGCAGTCCATGTGGGTCCTAATGCCCCAGTAGAGTGACGGGGACACTATACTGTAAACAGGTGCCGTCCTTTGGATGAGATGTAAAACTGAGGTCCTGACTCTCTGTGGTCATTAAAAATCCCAGGGCTTTTTATCTTGAAAAGAGTAGGGGTGTAACCCTGGTGTCCAAATTTCCAATTAGCCCTTACCAATCATGGCCTCCTAATAATCCCCCTCTATGAATTGGCTTCATTACTCCCCACTGATAGCTGGTGTGTGGTGAGCGTTCTGGCGCACTATGGCTGCAGGTGGATGCTGCACATTGGTGGAGGGGAGTCCCCATTACCTGTAAAGCGCTTTGAGTGTCCAGAAAAGTGCTATATAAGTGTAAGCTATTATTATTATTATTATATGTTCTCCACCATAAATCTATTTTGCAATACTATAATATTGCTTTGAATTGTACAGAAAAGTGTCACATGCTCATTCACTAACACTGCATCACCCATTGGTGTGATCACGCATAAAGATTTATTATATTTTAGAGCTTATTATACTGTACTTGGAAGCTTAGGTAATCACTGCAGACCTTGTTGTGTTACAGCCACTTCCTGAAGAATCTGAAAACATTGAAGCAGACTTTCCAAATGAGCTCGAACGGGAGTTAATCACAATACCTTCTGAGAAGCAGCCAGAAGAGATATCCCATGATGCCGCCAGTGATTCAGTCTTTGTTAATGACACACTACAAGCTGAAAAAGAACAGGACCAACCTATTGAAAAAGCTCCCTCTGCTGCCCAAGTGAGATTCAAACCATAGAGTTATCAGATATGATAAAGCTTACAAAGCACTTAATGTGATGAATAGAGACTACAGTATATCAAAAACCTGTTGAATCATCTTAAGCACATTTCCCTCGATTTCAAATATTTTTTCTTATTTTTTCCCAAAAAGGTCTATTTCTTATACAAACACTTTTTATAGGTACACTATGAAGACAGCTGTAAAGATTTATTTTAAAAAAAGAATCTTTAATATATTTGCTTGAATCTTAGTTTTTTATATATTAAGCATATTTATATGTTTCTGGTGAGTTTTTTGAGAAAATAGATTATATACATTTATTACCATGAATTTTATGCAGAGAGCAAATTAATCAGTTTAGTGCATTACAATGGATTTGATAGACAATATTACTATATACCCCTGTCATTTAGTCCCATTTAGATTGAACAGTTTCTAAGAGCTCAGAATTAGCACATTGTTGCATGTAAATCACACACAACCTGTAAATATGTTGTACAACATTCAAACTCTTACTTAGGTTAACATTACATACTGTATGTCTCAGACTTACTTTAGCTTCAAGACTGTTTTATTCCAGACAGAGGCCAAGTGTTTCCAGCATGCCATGACTGTAGTACACATTTCTGAGATGGAGAGAGAAGAGACAATGAGAAGCCTAGTAGACATGCAAAGAAAAGCTGAAAGCAAGTATCAGAGGGACAAGGAAAGACAAATGCTAAGGGTAAGTTTTGCTGCTGTCTGAGTAGTTATTTCTGCTTGGAGTAGAGACCAATCGAAACATCATGCTGCACTGCATCGTTTCTGTAGAAAATGAAGCGGTGACAGGTTTTCGTTAAATAAACCCAAGAGCTGGCAGAAAACACACACAAGCAGAGACAAGCTGCACAGACGAGCACAGGCAAAAGTGGTCCAGGCAAACACAGGACAGACCCATAAACAGGGACAAGAAAAGTTCAAAACCAAGACACTCAGAACACCCACCAGAGGAAGGTCCACTGAACAAAGTCAGGGTGAACCAGGTTCCAGAATCCAGAAAGAGCTCAGGAACTCAGGGAGAGCTCTGTGACAGAGTTCTTGAGTACTGCCAGATGATGGCTTATGTAGTCCTGAACCACCAGAGGCACATGTAGATACTGATAATACCTCTAATAGTTATCATTTAACTCTCACTAAAAATCTGGAATCCAAAGATAAACCATTATTCATTGATCTTGTTTGCTATTAAATTGATACATATATCCTGCACTACCACACTCCTAGTCTTTGAAACCATAGTAAATTAAAACACTTTTTCTAGGATGAATGCTGTTATTTGTTGTATTATGAGCAACACCCTTTCTTCCTTCAGGTTCAAGAACGCCTGTCCATCATCCAGAATAGAAAATCTGATGAAGACCTGCTGGGAAACAAGCAAGGAAAAGGGCTCATGCATCTTATGGAAAATTTTAAAAAGGCAATTATGTTTATTTTGCTTGGCTGGAAATGTACAGTGCCTTGCAAAAGTATTCACCAACTTCAAATGCTGTCCCATTTTGTTGAATGATTCTGAAGCAGGTCAGATGAATAACCATGTTTTTCAATTGCTACCTTAAAATGATCTATAGCACATGAATGACCCTGGAATATAATATAGTTCAAATCAATCCCCCATCAAACTCAATGACCAAAATATTAAGTTAGCATAAAAAAATCAATGTCCTTGATTGGTAGTAGCGTAGTAGAATGTTTTTGGTATTTTATGCTCTGAAGAAAGCAGATCACAAGACCAGGAGCAGTAAAACCAGTGAAGTTTAAAAATAGAGAAAAAGACTACATTAAGTCTCTGCTCACGTTTAGAGAAGCTAATGCAGGGCTCACAAAATACTTATCACTGGGGTATGAATACATTTTGAACATCATCTGTTATACATACTGTACATGTAACTGTTTTTGATAGATGCTGTATTTACACATATAATATTAGAAGTCATACAAGTCTTCATTGTAAAAGTAATTTGATCATGCTGTAATTGTCACAAAGTGTTAATCAGGACCCTGTGCAGATGGCAGAATCAGGAAGGGAGTGAAACAAACACGGGGGAGAGAAGACTAGGAAAGGGGCTGGTAGACGAACAGGGGGGCATGTCGACAGTGCACTAGTGCTCGGGGGGGCATAGTCCAGCCGAACAAGTCCAAAGGGAAATCCAGAGTGGGAGTAAATATCCAGAACTGGGTAATCCCTCCTCAACAGACATGACAAAAGTTAAAAACTGGAGCGGGATCCGGTGCAGAGACGGGGAGATAAAAAGGGGTAACGGGGCCAGGCGCTCCAAGCCCCAGACCCAGATGGATGCCTTGATCAAGCCTATGCCGTCGGGCCACTCTTGGACCCGCTGGTTAGCGGGCTTCCGGGTGTTCATCTTCCAAAGCTGTGCCCAGAATGGTAGGAGAGTCTGGCTTTTATAGTGAGAGGCTGGATGGGAAGCAGGTGCACAAAATCAACTCCAATCAACAGGAAAGAGCCGGAGCACCCTTAAGAGGAGAGACTTACAATCGTGACAGTAATGGGTATGCATGTAGAGTCTATGTAACCTCTGGTATATTATTCATTTTGTTAACAAAATCAAATTTTGTGATTCAGGTGGATAAAATCCATCAGAAAACACTGGTTAAAGAGAAGCTGGAGCAAGTGCGACGAGAACGGACCCACATTCTGCAGTCAAAAAGAGAACGGTAGATATTTCGGAAGACTCTGAAGACTAAAGTCCTTATTTATTCTCTTATCTGATTACCTGTGCTTGTGCCATATTGGTTCTTTCTTTATTGAAATGAACCATCTTATCATAACACTATAATTCTTTACACTGGGTTTAAGACGAAGAACAATCCTGGCCAAAATGTACAGCAATTACTGTACATTAAAATGTGGGAGTGTGAAGTACTTGTCATGGCCAGTATGTCAGCAATTAAAACTAAATTAGTTTGGATTTTGGGCAGCACAGTGGCACACTGGGGTTCACCGCTGGACCTGGGTTACTACCTGTGTGGAGTTTGTACACTATGTTTTTCCCATGTTTGTGTGGGTTTGTGTGCCCTCCTGCAGTCTACAAACATACAGGTAGGTTAACTGGCTTCTGGGAAAACTCACCCTGGTGTGAGTGTGTGCGTGTCTGTGTCTTTGTGTGCCCTGCGATAGGCTGGCAACCTGTCCAGGGTGTATCCAGCACTTGTGTCCGTTGCTTGCATGGAAAGGCTCTGGTTGCCTAGCTACATTAAATTGGATGAAACGCTTACAAAATGAATGAATGGACAGTTAGGATTTTAGGATATTGAAAATGTATGTTATTAAATATTCTATACATATTTGTACATCCAATTTAACCTCCTCCCCAAAATCCACAAACCCGACACTCGTGGACATGCCATCGTCTCAACATGCATTTGTCCAACTACTCACATCTCGGCCTTTCTCGACAGCCTTATGAGACCACTGCCTGATGGTCTTCCTTCATATATCAAGGACACCAACTATGCCCTCCAACTTTTTAAGGATTTCCATTTTCAGGGCCCAGAATGCTACATTTTCACCCTGGACATCACATCTCTCTACACAATGATGGTCTTACAGCCCTCAAGCACACGCTTGACAAACGCACAGATAAGATATCCACCCACCCACACCCTTGTACGCCTTGTACATTATGCATTCTCTTTCAATAACTTTTTTTACCAGTAAGTTAGTGGTGTCACCATTGGCACCAAAATGGGACACAGCTATGCCAATATTTGTGTTGGTTGGGTAGAAGAATGCTTCTTCACTTCCTACGCTGGCTTTGTCCCAGACCTCTACAGGTGATACATTGATGACTGTCACACGCACTTGAACTACTTCAACATATTTGTACATCTTAACTGAACCTGAAAAGAGTACAGTTTTAGCAATAGTCAAAGCTAAAAGTAAATAGAAGATGAAACCTCTTTAATACTTAAAACCTGAAAACTAACCTATTTTAATTTTTATATGTATGTATACATGTATCTTTGCAGAAACACAGCTGGGTTTAAGGAGCTGTTGGAACCAGTTATTCACAGGAAAGAAGAACATGAAGATGATGTTAACTCAAAGGAGAAAATAAATCAACAAGTTTTGGGTTTAGAGGACTGGAAAAATTGTATTCCTGAAAGCAGAGTAGCATAACATTGAATTTGTTCAAAACATTATGATAACATCAAGATAAAATAAACGCCAGTAATTGTTTCACTCTGTCACTAAAGGCCAGGTGGCATTCTTTAGCAGAACACAAGCCGTATTTTAACCCTCCAAAACTCTACAGCCTCAAACAAATTAAGTGATTGTTGTTTCACCCAACTATTTAATAGAGGCATGTACAAACATAATATCTAACCCATTTCTTTGTGTTTGCAAGTTACAAAGCTCATATACAAAATGATCTGTCTTTGGCTTCCTGGCTGGACTAAATATGCTCCTAATTTAATACTAGGATATGGCTAAATCTAAACTCTCATAAAAGCACTCACACCTGTATTAACACCTGAATAAAAACAAAGACTTCCATCACACATACTGTACACATTGTTGAATTCAAAACCCCTTTCCACAAAAAGAGCTTTTCGTGGAATCCAAGCAGTATGTAAAACATGGTGAAGGATTTAACATTTTTAGGGGAAAATGCTACTTTGTTCTCAAATACTGACAATGTTTGTAACCACTAAAAAAGATGCAAGAATAATTGTTTTAATGTTAGCTGTGGTGTTTGTCTTCAGTTGCTGGTGTTCTCCAAGGGTTTGATTTATCCAACTATGTTGGATGTTTCTGGAAAGATTCCATTTTTTCTGAAGAAACTGTCTCTCATAATTGCTGTAAGTCCATAAACTGGAGCACCATACTTTGTCATATCACCTGAATTCAAAGAAATATAAAAGATTATTAAGGTTATCTTAAATAAATTTATTATTGCATAATAAAATTGCAATAAATATTGTGTGCAGATATTTGATTTTGTGGTTCTATACTGTATGTCTTCATTTTAGTAAGATTTGTATTCTTAACTTGATCGTTTTTCCCGTTGTAAAACCTAAATAAAAAACTGGCCTAAAATGCTGTCATTGATTCTCTCAACTAGATTGTTAAATTAAATTATTCAACATTGTAGTGTTATATTTCAAAGTAATGTTTTATTGATGTGGTCTTCAACAAATGATGCATTTTAAATTCTATGCTTTGTTCTGAACGTAGGGTGTAATAACACTGTACCTTGCATTGTGGCATGAAAGTGGCTGAAAGTTATGAAAAGGCAGAGAGCCTAATTATTTTTACGAGGTTTAAAGAAAACTCTTAAAAGACTGTAAAAACCTACCTAATTGCCATCCGTACTGCCAATTACTAGTTACTGGGTAAACATATTTTTCCTCCGGCTTCTGCTGTTTTCTTAGGTGTAGGTATTTGTAACGGCCTGTCTCCTCTTTAGAAATACCTTGATACAATACTTCCCTTGTTGCTCTTGAGACAGGTCGCATCGCTCCAGTCTCTAGCACCTCCTCTGTAGTTTTTTTGGTCTCCGCTTCCACCAGATTTTCTATTTTGCTTTCTTTTTTTACATTTGTTTCCTTTTTTGCAGGAGCATCAATGCGTGGCAGTTTCAGTCTTTTCTCCTTGGCTGGTGTTCTCTTTGCCTTGACTCGGGGGTTTTTTGTCCAGAAATCCTTCTGCCAGTTAAGCCTGATAAGGTTTTCTTTGAGTATTGCTTCTTTCCAGAATTCCTGGCGCTGTGAATCCATGTTTATTTCTCGAGCCATCTGTTCGGGGTTTATTTTGTTTCCTTCCTCGCTGTAAGTTATCTTTCCTGTAGGTATCTAGTCTATTTAAAACGTTCACTTTTGATTTATTCTATTTTAAAATTTATCGTGTGACTTTCCGCCTTATGTACCTGTACTGTACAGTATATGCTACTGTAACTTCTCAAAACACTGTCACCAAAATCTGTTCTGTAGTTCAGAGATGGCAACTGTAGTTTTGATGCCAACAGTGAAGTCCACAGGTCTTTATTGTGCTCCCAGATGATGCTTTTATGACCCCCCTGGAGACCTGTTGCTATATAAGGGCAACATTTCACATCACAATGGCAGGTCTACTCTTCACTGTAGGAGTCCTGACATCTATATGGCCTTTTCAAATAATAACATCTGCTGATTCTATTTCTATACAGTATATATCTGAAATTTCTGGTTCAGACTTTCTGGTGGGCAAGCCTTTTTTGGTTTTGCTTTGACTTTGTGCAGTGTTGGTACATTATGTATACACAGGGTTTCTTAGCCTGGCACCTTATTTCGTTTTCTTCTGCGTCCCGAAGTTGTCTAGTTTTGTAGACCTTGTACTGTAAGTTTCTCAGCTGCTGCGGGAAACGTCCAGAATTACGGTTAAAATAATCCAAATCTTATCTCTACATGCTAAAACGTCAGTTATATAAACTCTACATTTTTTTCACTCCATTATTTGCGGCTTTGAAGAGTTTCTGTAAAGAGAA